GCTCGATATGGGCTTTGATGGAATTGTCCTCACTGACGCTGCATTTTTTGCAGCCGAAAATATATCTCATAAAACAGAATACAACCTAAATGTTTGCTTTATTTTTGTCATCATTCTAGGCATCTAATGACTGGTTTAAATATTATCACGATTCTCAGTTGTATACAGATGATGGCCTCAAGTTTATCCAAGAAATGAGAAAATTTATTGATCATTATTCTTATCAAACGGGAAGAACCAGGTAAAATTTCAATTCTTGTATATTTTGCCTCGGTAATGCATTTATCTATTATCTATCTTAGACTTTTCGCCGTGGATCCTGGTGATGTCGGCTTTGGTCATGGCTTTCGAAATTCATTCACTCAATTACTAGGCACAGCGGACAATCCTGGAGGCCATATCGTTGTCAGCAGACAGTTCGTTCCAAATCGGGGCTGGTATGTTGTTTTCATTTATTGCATTCGATTGCTTCACTGTCATTAACCAATTAGTATCTCTCATTTTTCCACTTTTTATATTTACCGCAATATCTACTCAACTCTGTGACCTATTTTCATCATGAGGTTTTGCTTCTTCCAAGCATTTGGCTATATCTTCTTTATTGTGTCTTGTTATTTTTTTTGTATATATTACTGGGTTTTATTATACCTGTTAATATGCAAAATAAACTAATTTGTACAATTTGCTAGATTTTATTAAGTAATGCTCTTACTCATAAATTTTCAACAAGTTAAGAGCCTATGCTAGTTATCACTTTTTAATTAGGTCTTTTATGTTGATGCTATACATTATGCATGTTTTTCTTCTACCGTTATAATCGTTTATGCATTTATTAGTATATTCACATTTGGGGAGTCCACGAGCCTGAAATAAAGTTTTATGTTTCCTGTGTACATATTCTAAGGATCCTAACCATTTACAACTTATTCTTGTATCTGGTACAATGATATTATTTATCCTTATTTTTATTATCAAACGTTAATTATTTTTAGGATTGTTAGCTCTATTTTAACTTCATTGTGTAGACTATCGTATAGCCTATCCGTAATATTATCGTTCTGACAAGATTCATTATTTCCAGGAAAACTATTCCTATTGATACCGACCTCGCTGAAATGTCAGTAGCTACCTACTCAATTGAAGTCAACGATTCTGTCAGTGGAAGTCTGGGATTGGCCACAGGAACCCCTTCCGATCCTAGATTTGGTGAAGTCCTGTCATTAGCAGCTGTTCT